AGTTGTTGTCATTCAGTTTTAACCACTCTAATGAATTAAAAAGCTACAGAACTCGGAATGACATCGGACAACTGATTGGAGCTAAGTATCATGGCTTTCAAGCTTTGCAGATTCTCAAGACAGTTGGGAATTTTGCTGGCTAATGAATTTGTGGAAAGATGAAGATATTCCAGATCTGTCCTTCTGCACAATGACCTTGGAATCGACTCATTGAAAAAGTTATTTCCCACAAGTAATGAAGAAACAAATCCAAACCTATTATGAGTTGCCCCATTAGGAAGGTTTGTCAAAAGGTCCGCTGAGATTGTTGTAAGAGAGATCTAAGAAAGGAATGATGTCCCGAAATTGTAGCCTTAGACAAATCCTATTCACAAAGATTCCTTTGATTTCGTAGCCACTGTGGAAATCCATTTGCAATATTGCAAGAACTGAGTCGAAGAGATCGATGCCAACTGGAATGGAGGTATCCAGTCACGTCAACTTGGTGTTAGAAGAAGCATCCAAATCCTTCAACATTGAAAGGTTAGCAAAATGGGCTTCTGAACTACTCCTAAAAAATTCTAAGAGAAATCTAGAGAACTGAGTTTGGCAAGCTGCCCAATTGAAACCGGAATAGTCCCGTTTAACAAATTTGAACCCAACGAAACTGATCGTAATGAAACAAGCCTTCCTAGAGATGCTGGGATGGGGCCCTTATCTGATTGTAACTTAGATCCAAATATGTTAAAGTTGCTAGATTTCCAAAGGATTCTGGAATTGAACCATTCAAATTATTAAATGAAAGGTCAAGTTTGGAAAGATTCTCAAGGAATGTGGGGTTAACTGGTTATTGGAAAGATCAAGATCTAGAAGGTTAAGCATAATAGGAACCGACGAATTCAGCATGTTTTCTGAGAGGTCAAGAACACTTATTGCCATGAAAGTCAATGACAGACTTATATTCTTGTGTGGTGGTCCTAGCCTAATTTTCTTTTTCTCTTGATTCATGTCCGACTCTATTCCCTGTTGCATACGCAATTGTATTGGCCACAATTATACATAAATAATGAATAAAAAACATCTTATTTGACAAATAAGCATTTACATTTTCGAGAAATCAAAGATAATTTATAATTTTTTTGTAAATGACTAACAAGTTGACGTGTCAAGCCCACTAGAGGATAAATTTTGTAACTTTAAATTCAGTATTTAGTCTTATCTTATTATAAAATGTAGTATGTTTATATGTTTTATAATTATTTTGTGATGAGAGACGATCACCGGGAAGCCTTGTTGGTTGACTTGGAAAGTGTGTGTGTCGAATACATCTCTCTGATTGATGCACTAAAAATGGCCTAAATAAACTAC